AAAAAAAAAAAAAAAAAATTAAATAAATAAAAAGAGTCAGGGAAGTGGCTCAGTGGTAAAATGCCCCTGGGTTTGGTTCCATCCCCAGTACCAACAAGAAAAAAGAAAGCTGGCATGTTGAAGGGTGGCGGCCCAGAGCAGGCTGTAGCCCTTCCTCCCAGGAAGGCTCTGAGGCCAGAGGACCCTGGGGCAGTGAGCACCATCAGCCTGGCATTTGCTTTTTAGGTTTCAGTGGCTTCTGGTCATCTGGGGAGAGAGCGAGGGATTGGGAAGTCCCAGACTGTTAAGCCTTCACTGCCTCCCCCAGAGCCTTCAGGCTTGCCTTGCTAATCCACTGGCCCAGCCAGCGAGGTTTTTGGACACCACCCCACAGCCTCGGCACAGCCTAGCCCAGGAATGCACTCATCAGCTGCCTCTGCGAAGGGGAAATGTATCCGTGACTCACTCTGGGCCCAGGAGCGCGTGATGGTGGCCGCCTGGTCCCAACATTCTATCCCGAGACCAAGCATCTACACAGTTGGGAAGCAGGGTCAGACAGGGAGTGTAGCCCACCCCTTTCAGCTGTGGCTGGAGATGGCCCCCTGCTCTGGCCCTGCTGCCTGCCTTCCCCCAAGGCAGGCAGCAGGGCCAGAGTCACATCCTGCCCGAGTCACATCTCCAGGGCTTCAGCTCACATTTTGGGGGGCAGTTAGCATCCTTTCACCCCCTCCAATTACCTGTGCCTACTTTACAATAGAGATGTACCCCACTGTGTGGGCAGGACCCAGGCACAGCCCACAAATCCTGCTGAGGCACCTGGAGCCCAGCTGGCTGGAAACCACCCCCAACATGGGCCACCTGGAAGCCAGCAAAGTGGACAGGCTGGAGTGGGCAGTGTCAGGACCATGGGTGCCTGGGCAAGCCAGTGTGCCCAAGGACCTGACACCAGTCTCCATCACCTGCCGGCTGTGTACTGCACAACAGCACACAAGCAGGGGCCCTGGGCTTGTGAGGGTCTATGTAGCACTGCAAGGGTGGGCATGGGGGTCTGGCCACCCACCATGCCCTTGGGTAGGTGCCCAGTGGAGAATCATACTCCCAATGAGCCCTGCATTGGCCCAATAGCTGGGTCTGTACCAGCACATCTGAGGGCTCTACAGGGCCACTGTCATGAGTAGGGGGGACCCAGGAGGCTGGTGGTGCTGAAGGCTCCTTCAAGAAGCAGGCCACCTGGCGAGTGTGGGACAGAAGCCTGCTGGAGGCTGTGCTGGGCTCCCTCAGATGCTGCCATCCCCCTCCCGTGCTGCCTCTCCTGTGTGGTCCTGCAGAGGTCCTGATGTACCCGAGTGGGTAGGGGAAGATGGCCAGGCTCAGCAGCTCCATTGCCCATTGTCTTCGAAGCGGATTCCAATTGTCCTTTTCCTGTATGTGATCCACAAGCACGTCACATTTTTAAAATTTGTTGGTACCAGAGATTTAACGCGGGTGCGCTTTACCACTGAGCCAAATCCCCAGCACAGTCCCCTGCCCCTTGTTTTAAATTCTGAGAGGGCCTGAGTAGGTTGCTGAGGCTGGTTTGAACTTGCAAACCTCCTACCTCAGCCTCCTGAGCAGCTGGGAATACCACTGTGCACTGCTGCATCAGGCCAGTGTAAAACCCGGTGAATGTTCCATCTTAATTCTATCAAGGTTTGGTTAGTAATCATGGCAACTTGTCCATTTTACCTCTTCTTTCGAAATGTTTTTTTGTTGTTGATGGACTTTTTTTTTTTTTTTTTTTTTTTTAATGTGGTGCTGGGAATTGAGCCCAGTGCCCCACAATCCCAGTCCGTCATCTTACCTCTTCTTGAGGTTTGATCCACCCAAATTTTTGTCTGATCACTGAGGTGAGGGCAGGGGATGAGATGGCCAGCATGTCCCTGGTGGCCAGGGCAGCTGCACAAAGGTCCAGTCAACATCATGGCCCTGGGCACAGGCAGAGCGGCAGTGGCCCTGGTCCATGGGCAAATCAACATGCCCCTGCTTGGCAGCCTGCAGGTGCTCATGCCCTGGGTAACCCCAAGCTGTGCCTGAGCTGTTTCTGCACTGTGACACTTCAACACAGAGGTCATGACAACAGTGGCCCCTCAAAGCTGGCTGAATCTCTTCAGCCCAGCTCCTGTGACTTGAAGAAATACAGCAGAGGCCACGGCGGGTAGTAAAATTTCAACTTTATTTGGCCAATGTGTCCAATTCCAATATCGTGGTAGAAATGCCCGAAGAATGGTCAACATGTGATTCAGCCCCGGCATCCCTGGCTGTCTCCTGGCCTGGGAACCAAGGGCCTGGTTCTGCCTGTGTAGGCCTCAGCCATGCTGCAACAGAACCCGCAGTCGGTGTGGAGCGCCTGAGACAGAGTGGGAGCCCCGGCTTGAGGAAGAACAGGTGAGCTGTTCAGGCCTGTCCTGGGCCCTGCGGCCGGCAATCACAGTGCCCTTGTCTAGATGTGAGGCATCCCTGACAGGATCCAGAGGTCTCCATTTAACCAAGAATTTTAAGAACCATGCTCAGTCATGGCCACACTGGCACAACATGCATGGAGAGCGACCGTATCCAGTGGATCTGTCCCTCCCCACACAGGGCACAGGGGTCTTCAGGGAGGCTTGGCCAAGGTGGAGCAAATACCCTGATGTCGAAAAATGTCTAAAAGTCTCACAGATGGAGAGCACAGACCTCTCCAACAGGAAAGGGATTGCCAGTGTGAGATCCCAAACATTTTAGCGAGCACTCAGGACAAAAACCATGTACAAAAAAGTACATCACAATTTAAAAAAGGGGCCCACCAGGATGGGCTGCCTGGAGATAATCCCTTTCCAAACATTGAAAAGCGAGGAGACAGGTTAGGTGCACACGTGTGTTAGAATGAGTCCCTGGGTTTCCGATGACACTCCCTGCTCAGGTGAGGGTCGGCGCCGAGGGCCTGGGCTGCGGGAGCGCGGCCCACCAGGTGTGGTTGGGGTGCCCAGGTCTGGCTGCGGTGCTACAGTTCGTCTTTCACAGCTTTCTGGTCGTCGTCCTCCTCCATGTCTGGCTCTTCAGCTTCTTCTAGGTCTAGGTCCTGGGGTGCGGGAAGGGAGGGTGGTGAAAGGGCTGGTGGCAGTGTAGCAGTTGGAGGTGGCCAATAGGCCACCCAGACCTGCCTACAAGGGTGGATGAACCAGGGACCCCAGGCATCCTGACAGGGACAGCCCAGTGGGGAAAAAAGTCCCAGCGCAGTGAGCATTGGGTGATTCAGCCCTTCGGTCCCTTGCTGTATGGCCAGTGGTGACACTTGGCAGTGTCAGCAGCAAGGTCCTGCTGTCCCCTTGATCCAGATCCACCCCCAGCAGCCACAGTGGCTCCCTCAGGACAGACCTGCCCTCACTCCTCACTTCACACTGACTATACCCTCCACGCCCTGCCTCAAATGCCACCAGAGTCACTAACTCCCATCCCCACCAGCCTCTCCTGACTTGCCCTCCACTTCCCCCAGAATAACTACCACCACCACCCCTGGCCACAAGCTGATGTGGACAAGACTGAGCTTCTGAGGACTAGCCCAAATCCACTGTCCAGCCTGGGGCCAGAGGGTGCCTGCCCCACAGAGTAACTAAGTGGTCACATCTGTTAAGCAATGGTGGGCTTTAACCAGTGGTGGGACACTTGAGCCCAAGTCAGCAGGGATGTGAGGGCCCCGAGACTTCCTAAGAAGGTCTAGACTTCACAAGTGCCTTCGCACCTCCCAAGTGGACCTAGGCCTGTGCCCCAGAAGCCAGCCCAGGGTCCACATGGCCACACTCACATCATCATCTCCTGCCCCATCCTGACCACCACTCTCCAAGAACTTCTTAAAACCCTCCAGGGTCCGCTCCCCGTTGTAGTCGATAACCTGTGGAAGACAAGGGCCAGGGACATGGAGCCAACCCTAGGCCCCCCCGACCCCAAGGGGCAGCAGCTTCCCCTTGGTGCAGAAAGGGGGGTTCTTAAAGAGGGGTCCCTCGAGGCCTCTCCTGCCCCACTCCTTCCTGGTCCCCAGCTCCTCGTGGACAGAGAGGCTGCAAAATGGTGTGGGGACAGGACTCTCCCAGCCCCACGGCTGTCGCACCGTTCTGTCTGCACGTGCAGGGAAGAACTTCAGCGTGGGAAAGCTGTGCACCCGGACAGCCTCCACCTCGTTGGCCGTGGAGTCCATCTTGGCAATGACGATGTTCTCGTGATCCTTGTACGTCTCACCCAGTTTGTCCCAAATAGGAGCTAGCTGCTTACAGTGGCCACACCACGGGGCATCTGAAAAGAAGACTGGGCTGAGGGTCCACCCTAGACCAGGAGCCACCTGCAAATGCTGCCTCTGGCTCTGCACAGCCTGCGACCACCCAGGGCCCAGACACAGCACTCACAGAACTCCACAAAGACGTTCTTCTTCTCGTCAAAAGCCACCTCTTCAAAGTTCTTTCCAACCAGTACTTTGACCGGTTGCTTGTCCCAGTCTTCAGGAAGCTCCTGGCTCATCAGGTGGGGCTAGAGGGCAAGTAGAGCCGGTCAGAGGCTGCACTGCCCAGAGGCCCACAGTGCTCCCCGCCACACCCACCCCTGGCGTGGATGAGGCACACGCTGTCCTCCGAGGCCGCCAGAGTGAACAGTGCCAGGAGCCTGGCGAAAGGAGAGGAGCTGTCAAGGTCGGCCCAATGAGAGGACATGAGGTTACCCTCGCAGCCTTGAGGCCACCTCTGCGCGCGGCGGGACTGCAGTGCGAGGATGGCCAGGGCTGTGTGTGGGCTCTGGTGTCAGGATCTCCAGGCTTGGAAGGTGAAGCCTGAGACACCAGGGCCCAGGGTCCAGGAGCGGAGCCCACTCCCCGAGGCCAGCCATGCGCCCAAGTGGGCCTGCCACCCACCTTGACCTTGCCCTCCAGGAAGCGGTGGCAGAACTCTGTGATCCCCTCCGCTGTCAGCTCGTCCGACTCCGGCTTGTACTTGGTCATCTCCTCCTCCAGGGTGATGAGCCGCACGGCTGGGCACTCCTCCTTCTTCAGGCCAAAGAACTCGAGGATGCGCTGGTTGTCGGCGTGGTCGCTGTCGATGAAGATGAACAGGATCTTGGGGGAGAAAAAGCGCACTGAGACCGGCCCGCAGGCGGCCTCGAGCCGAAGGCCTGGCCTAGGGGACCCCATCACCCAGACCCCAAGGGGGAGCGGAGTCCAGAGGCCCTGACTACCTGGGGAAGCCACCCATCCCTAGGTGGCCCACCTTGCCCTTGAAGCCCCCGGCGGCTTTCTTGAAGTTGCTCAGTTTGCTGTCATAGTCAGACACACTCTTGGGCAGGAACAGCAGGATGTGAGTCTTGATTTCACCTCCAAAAATCTTCGGGGCTGTCTGTGTCACACATAGAATTGCTTCGTCTAAGCCACAAGCTAATATTTGACAGAATACTGATGACAGTGACAAATGCGCCTCCTGCATGTCCAGGGAGCCCACCTGCACCATCTGACTCCCACTAGAGCCTGAGAGAGAGACACACCTGCTCAGTGAACTCAATGACCAGGGGCAGCTGGTTGTGCTTGATGAAGTCCAGCAGGTTCTCTTTGGTGATCTCCCCTTCAAAGTTGTTCCGGCCCTCATCAAACTGTGGACAGAAGGGGGATCGTGAGCCAGCCTGCCACAGGCTCCTGGGCTCAGCCAGGCAGCGACTGGGAACCCAGCCGCTTGCTCCCCGACAGCCTGGACCAGCTTCAGCCACTTCACCATGGCCACCAGCAAGTCCTGGTTTGTCCAAAACTCAGGTGTGACACCTCCAGGTCCTCTAGCTGCCCCCAAAAAGGGCATGTGTGGTAGGACGGTCACAGGAATGACTAGATCCTGTCCCTGTAGGCCAGACAAGGAGGCTAATAGCCTGCTGTTCTGCAAAGCCAAGCCAGGCTGGGAAGTCACTGCAGAGACCCCCTGCGAGAGGTTCCACCAATGCCCACAGGCTGAGACCCTCTGGCAGTCGAGTTTGAGGGAGTCCCTCAGGCTCCTCAACCCCAGCTTCCAGGACAGCACTCACAGAGCCTGGCCCAAGCAGATCCAGTGTCAAAGGTACCTCCATGACTACACGCTGCTGCTCCCTGTGCAGGGAGAAGCGGGCAGGGTAGGTGGGTGCTTAGCCTGACGGCACAAGAGGAGGGCCTGCCGTCTCATACCAGGCTGCACGCTGAACAGACTGCTAGAAACCTGAACATTACTCTCCTCACTAAAGTGATTTTATCTGAGAAAAATAATTTTTGCAAAAATATTTTTCATTGTCATGTGTCACAGGCTTACCATCATGTGTTGTATTTGAGACAGAGTCTTGCTGGGCTGCCCAGGCTGGCCTCAGCTCCTGCACTCAGGGGTCCGCCCACCTTAACCTCCCTCTGGAAGACAGGCCTGCACCACAGGCTTGGCCTACTGCTGAACGATTCTATTCCAGGTCGGGTGGTCTGAGGATGTGGAGGGCTGACCGCACTCAGCTTTTCTTACTGGCCACTTCCCATTCCTGTGGTAGGTTACATCCAGGGGAGGCCTGTGCCAGCCAGACCCTCCAACTCAACCCTGGAAAGGTGCTAAACCCAGGTCACCTCCACATTGTGGGCCACTCCCCACCAGAGCCTGAGGGTCAGAGGCTTCCAGGCATGCTCCATGTCCCCCAAATCAGCAAATGTGGAGAGGATGATGGGGTGGAAAGGCAAGGCCAAGAAGCCCTTTGAGGGGGTCGTTGGCCCAGGTCCACGAGGAATTGGTGGGCTTGGCCTGCTCTCCCCACCTACAATGCTGAGCCAGAGGGCACCCTGACCTGCAGAATGAGGCTTCTGCTCCCACCAGAGCACCAGCTGTCACCGGCACAGCCTCATGCTGAGACCTCAGAGCACAGCTCAGCACCCGTGTCAGGCTGAAAATCCTCCTGGTAATGTGGCCACTTAATGTGGTCACTGTCCACTTTCTTCTTATTTTGGGGGTATTGAAGATTGAGCCCAGTGGCACACCGAGCCACATTCCCAGCTCTTTAATATTTTGAGACAAGAGTCTTGACACATTGCCCAGGCAGGCCTTGAACTTGTGCTCCTCCTGCCTTGTGCTCTGGAGTGACTGGATTATAGGTGTACGACACCATGTCCAGCCCATTTTTTACAGTCTGCTCTGGTTCAGCCAGGGGTGGCTGCGAGAGGCCTGCCCAGGAGCCTCGAGTGAAGACCTCTGTGCCCCCACTTACACCTCTGGCTGTGGACACCAGTCCTGTCAGGTCACAGTGACAAGGTCTCACTAAAAGGCAGATGCTGCAGGCTGGTGGAGAAGCCCCTGGCCCCACCCTCACTCCTAAATCCCCAAGACAAACCCGAGATGAACTCTAGCACCACGTCCTCTGTCCCCTGTTGACCCCCTGTTGACCCCCTCGGCAGGACTGCCAGGAAGCAAGTCTTCAGCTCTGTGCAAGGAAAACTGCCACCCATTAGCCAGCACCAGATCCAAGGGTATGCCCAGCCTAGTGGAGAGCAGACAGCTGAGTACTAAAGAGTCACAGGCATGGTGGCACACACCTGTAATCCTAGCAACTTGGGAGGCTGAGGCAGGAGGATCACCAATGTGAGGCGAGCCTCAACAACTCAGCAAGGCTGTCTCAAAAAGGACTGGGGAATATAGCTCAGTGGTCAAGTGGCCTGGGTTTGATTATAAACCAAAAAACAAACAAAACCAAACCAAAAAACCCTCAATAAAAAACTAACTATACACCAACAGCCTGAACAGAGAGCCTCAATGTACTTCATTCTTCAAAGGCAAGAACAAGCAATTGTCATCCTAGCCTACAAGTATATGTGACGGCCACCGCCATCCACCCAGAGTTAACATGGCTACTCAGACACAGCGCCAGGGGCAGATTGGTGGATGGAGCTGAAAGTGGAATCCGCAGGTTCCTATAGGCCTCAGAGAAACTGTCCCTCAACCTCCAACTCAGGACATGGGCGACTTTGTCTAGCAGCCCAGAGTGCTCTGCACTCTCCCGTTCTAGTCGGGTGTCAAAGACACAGCAGCTCTACCCCCTGGTTTCTATTGAGTAGAGCATGTCACTTGGCTGGGGTTCTTTTGAGGAAGGAGTCAGCAAAATGGCTAAATGCCAAGAGCAAGGACACAGAAAGCAGTCTTCACCCCACCCCCTAGCTTCAGCTGCTAGGAGGGGTCCTCCTCCTCCTCCTCCCAGTCTGGAGGTGCAAGGTGTTCAGCCCACCCTGAGAAGCTGTTTCATAGGTGAAAGGCATAAACACAAGGTCAGCACAGAGCCAGGCAGCCTCTCCCCCAACATTGCATTCTTCCTAAATAGTCGACTGTCTGCAGGTTTCCTCCTGCTGGGAGCAGAACAGGACAGCTCTCCAAGATCCTTCCCCAACCCAGGACACGCACCTACTCTGCTCCTGTGGTCTTCTTCTCATACAGCTTCCTCTCCCTCTTCCCTGTGCATCTGCCACCTGGATGGCATTAACCCAGGAGCACACATACCTAGGTACAGCTGTGCTCCAAGAGCAGGGCTGCTCTGTGCCATCCCACCCCCAGGGAGAAGGCAAACCCACAGGCAACAACGGGCAATGAGGAGCCTGCTGCATCCCTGTAATAGGCAGACTCGGTTCAAGGACACCTGGCTTACAAAGAGAAAGGACAGGGTCAGAATCAGCAGTTTCCAAGGTGGGAGGCCCAGGAACTGCAGCTTTGTCTGTCCAGTGGGAACATACCCAGGGAGTTCACACCAGTTTCCATCTGGTATGAGGACCTGAAGTAGACAGCAGTGATGGTGGCACAGCAGTGTGACCACCATTAATGTCACCAAATTGGCCATTTAACTATGCTGGGCATGGTTAATGCTGGGTATGATGGAGGCTGAGACAGGAGGATCCCAAGTTTGAGGCCAGTTTCAGTGGGTGATCAAGGCCTTGTCTCAAAATTAAAAAAAAAAAAAAAAAAAGGTGGGATGTGGCTCATTGGTTAAGAGCACACTGGGTTCAATCCCTGGTACAAAAAAAAAAAAAGAAAAAAAAAGTAAAATAACCAACTTTGTCACAGTGGAAAAAAAGCTACTAGTAAAAAGCAACTCCCCTTGTGTCCTTTAGGAGGTCCAGAACATTGGCTGTTATAGGAGGCTGGCCAAAGGCCTTGCACTCCAAAGACTCCAAAGTCCAAAGGCCACCGAGTGGCTCCTGTAGTCTGGCTCTGCCAGTCTGTGACAGGACTCAGGATAACCACAGGCCTCCAGCAGTAAGAAAAGCAACACCACCCCCTACAGACCAACGCCTGCACTGCCCTGGGCCACTCACCTTCTTGAAGAGGACCACCCCATCTTTGCTGAGCTGGTATTTGGAGAACACATCACTGTTGGACGTAATCCCAAATGGTATGTCATCTATGGCCTCTGCAGCCAGCAAGAACTGCTTGGCCAAGTCTGACTCGACATCCTGTAAAGGAAGGAAACAAGAGGTGCTGCACACCGATACCTAGGAGCCTGCCTGGCACAGCAGCAAAGCCGACACTGCAGTGTCCAAGCCATGGGGACCCCTCCTTCAAGTTCTGAAGCTCTACCTTAAAGAAGCCAATGACGGCCACCTCGCTGGATTCCACCAAGGACTCTGCAGCTGCACCATCGAGCAGCGTGGTGGCAGCAGGGCCCGTGCGCTTCTTCAGCCAGTTCACGATGTCATCGGCTTCTCTGCCAGCTGCACCCCAACAAAGGCAGGTTCCCGAGTCAGACAGGGTGCCCCTACCATGCCTGGCACCCTCTCACCTGAGTTCCACCAAGCAGGCTGAGGACACCTGACTGACCCCTATAACAAGCTGTTCTCTCCACAGGTAGGTCTATACCCTGGCCACCCACTTCCTGAGACCACAGTTATGCTTAAAGAAGGGAAGAGTGTCATCCTTGGGAGGTGGGATTTTCTTCTCTAATTCTTTGCATTTTCTAAATTTTTTTGGACATTAAAATTGGTTAAACTCTGCTGGGTACAATAGCACATACCTGTAATCCCATCAACTTGGGAGATAGAGGCAGGAGGACCATGAGTTCAAAGTCAGCCAAGGCAACTTGGTAAGACCATGCCCCGCCCCCCTCCCGCAAAAAAACAAAACAAAACGTGGGTGGGTGGGGGCTGGGGATATAGTTTAGTAATAAAGTGCCTCTGGGTTCAACAATCCCCAATAACTAAAATAAAAATATTTAAAAAAATTTTTTTTTATTAAACTCACATACACTGTCTCCCCACAGTACTCTCTACCAAGCTAAGTCATGGAGATATGGCATGTTTTTTTTTTGTGTGTGTGTTGGCGGGAGGGGGGGGGGGCTGAGGATCAAATCTAGGACCTTGTGCATGGGAGAAGCACTCTACCAACCGAGCTATATCCCCAGTCCTGAGATGTGGTTAGTTAAGTCAACCTCCACGCCAGTTCTCCTTTCTTGAAAACAGGCTCAACTTGACTTTCTGACACTCCCAGGTGGGCCAGTTATTTCTAAGGCCAGCCTTACCCACTTCCCTGACTGGTAAGAACTAGAGAAAGAGTATGTGTCCGCATGCCATCCAAGAGGCCAGGAGGCCACACAGGGATAAGAAAGAGGCCTGCTCCCGCCAGATGGAGGCCAACAAACTGCTCTCCCCTCCTTTCCTGGGGTGTGACTACCTGAGAAAGTGCTGCTCCACCGGAGAATGACAAGGATTCTTTAACCAAGTGCCTACAAAAAGCTGAGCTGGCAGTTACCAGTGGATTTAGGAGCAGTTGTCTCATCTGCAAAACCTAAGTGTTGGTGGAGAATGACGGTAACTTGGGACAAGGCACCCCCATTGCAAGATTAAATACACATTGAAAAGTGGGGACTAGGGACTGGGGCTGAGTAATAGTGCACTTTCCTGGCATGTGAGGCACTGGGCTCGATTCTCAGCACCACATACAAATAAAGGTCTATAAACAACTAAAAAATAAAAACTAAAAAGCCAGCCTCAGCAATGGCAAAGTGCTAAGCAGTGAGACCCTGTCTCTAAATAAAATACAAAATGGGGCTGGGGATGTGGTTTAGCGACAGAGTGCCCACAATTCAATTCCTGGCACCAAATCATAAATAATAAAAAGGGCTGGGGCTCAGTGGTTAAGCACCCCAGGTTCAATGTCTGGTACCAAAAAAATAGTGGGGTCTACTAGTGAGGCAACCAGAGTGGCTGATGCTGATTAGGATAAGACTGCTTGAAGGGATACTTCTGCTAACCCTGGGATGGGCAGCTTCAGGCTGCTCCGAACATGGGCCTGACAGACATTCTGCAGAACTGACCTTAGAGACCAGAAAGCGTTTCTTTGCCACTAGTGGTTCATTTGCCCTGGAGGTGGCAGGACAGTAGTTGAGGACCTGCCTGGATGCTTGAGTGTGGTGGCTGGCACGCTGCAAGCACACGTTACCCTTTTCTAGTTCATTTCCAGACAAGCTTTGCCAGCAGGCCCCCCAGGAGGCCATCAGACATCACAGGACCCTCAAGTGTGGACCAGTTGCAAACACAGTCCCCCCCAGAGCCCCTGAAAACGGGCCCCCACCTCAGATACACTACTGGATGAGCTTTCAGTTAGGTTCGCCTCCAAGGCCTGCACCGTGGTCACACCTGTGTACTCCTTGGGGGAGGCTGTGTCTCCGTTCTTGAAGAACTTGATTGTGGGGTATCCTCTGACGCCATACTGCTGGGCCAGGTCAGACTCTTCAGTGGCATCCACCTTTGCTAGTCGGATCTCGGAACCTTCTGCCTTCAGCTTCCCAGCTGCTTTGGCATACTCAGGGGCCAGTGCTTTGCAGTGACCACACCAAGGGGCATCTGGAAAAGAAAGTGGGACACTGGAAAGCAGCCCTTGATCCCATCCCATTGCTTCTTCCCTTCATAAAAACCTTATCTGCACACCAAGATAAGGCCTCCAAACCCACAAGGCTGAGCTGATAGCTGCTGATCTTGGGCAACTTCAGGACAGAGGCCATCAACGATCGACACACCAACACCATCCCTGTTCTGCTCTGTCACCACCAGCACAGGAAGACACACCCTCTAGATTGGTAACTTCCTATAACCTGCAGGCCATCAGAACCAATGTGTCCCTAGGATTTCCCTTTAAGAACCCAGGACAAGTCAAAGGTTTGATGGCCCACCCTTACACCAACCAAAAAATGCTTATGAGTATGTGACACACATCTGTGTGAGGTCCGCATCTCTCACATTCTCATCTTAAACCGTTCTTTATAGGTGGGAATAACACAATCTGCCAAGGAAGGGTAGCAGATGTGGTGGCATAAGGTTCCCAGCCCAGAGACAGTGGGAGCCCAAATACTTGCTAACAAGTAAAAGCCTCAGACGGACTGGCTACACGACAGGAAAGCCAGGGCAGGTTAAGGGTGGCGCGGGCAGGAGCTGGGCATTTCTGGGTCAGTCCAGCTGAGTAATCAGCAGAGCCGGACCCGGCTTGGAGCTCGGCTTGGAGCCCGGCTTGTGGGGTCTGCCACGGCTCACACAGGTCCGTCCAGCGTCCCCCAGCTAACCGAGGGTTGCTGCCATGTGGACTTCGGGCACAAAGACACTCCCTGGCTCTCCGCCGGGCAGCCACTCTCGAGGAGCCCGGGACGCGAACGCTTCCAATCCGGGCAGGAAGGATGCCCTCCCGGCGGCCGGGGGCAGCGAGCTGACAGCAGGCGCGCCTGGCGAGGGGCGGGCCGCGACGGGCCAGGCCGAACTCGGCGCGGCCACGGGCCAGCACGGCCAGCAGGCCCGCTGACCCGGCCCGCCGCGCGCAGGGCCGCACCGCGGCGGCGCCCCCCGCCCGCCAGGCCGGCCACTCACAGAACTCCACCAGCAGGTACTTGTGCGTCGCCAGCGCCTCCGCGAAGTTGCTCTTCCTCAGCACCAGGACGTGGTCCTCCTCCTCGGGGGCGTCGGCGCCCACCCGGGCCGCCGCGGCCAGGGCCAGGCACAGCAGAGCGCGGCTCAGCATGTCGGACGTCGGAGCGGGCGGGGCGGTTCGGTTGGCGCCGCCGGGACAGCCTAGGCGACGAGAGCGCGCGCCAGTCCTGGCCTCGCCTTTATAAATCCTGGTCCGGAGACGCGCCCAATAACCCGCCGCGCGCGCCAGCCGCCGCGCGCACGCGCCCCTAGGGGCCCTCCAATTGGCCGGCGAGCTGCGGGGCCCGCCCTCGCCGTGCACGGATTGGACGCCCATGCTAGGCCCGGCCCCGGAGTCGGAAACGCTACGGAGTCCTTCCTCGCCCTCATCCAGGATTGGCCGCGGCGCTCGCGCTCGCTCTGCTCTCCAGATTTTGATTGGCTCCGAGCGGAGAACTTTCTCTCCCTCGACTTCTGACTGGTGATATTCATCCACACCTTTCGCGGGTCGGGAATGGCTACTTCTTTCGGCTGTCCGGGCTCTGTGGCTTCTGATTGGCCAAGATTCGCGCGCACCCTGCGCGTCCCTCCGTCGAACGTGGCAGTGAGGCGGAGTCCCTGGTCGGGGCGGAGCTGCGCCTGCGCCTCCGAAACCCCTCGTGTTGCATTCTGACTGGACCGCGTATCCGTAACGGGCACCGCCCCCGGCCGGCCGGCCGGAAGCCTGACTGACGCAACTTCCGTCGCGCGTGCGGCCCGTGCAGCGCCTGCAGAGGCGTGGGGTCCGACAGGTGGGCACCCTCAGTGCTTGGCGCGGCTTCGGCGGGGTGGGCCAGGCGGCGGTCTTAAGGCCTTGGCTCCTGCGGGGTCAGCGGGCGGTGGCGCGGCTCGGATCCGCTTCCGAGCTTCCCCGCGGCCTCCGAGCGAGGGCTGGTCCGTGCCAGACCCGGAGGCCGGGCGGGCGGAACACAGCCCCGTAGACGGTAGCGCGGTGTTGGCCGCCTGTCGAAGTGGCGTTTTCCTCTTTCCGTGGCTCCTAGGACCTTAAGTCACACACGAGGCCCACGCCCGGTGTCTGTGGGGCTGTCCGCGTGCGCTCGGCCGCCGCCCCTTTGGTGCGCTCAGCAGCAAGGGGCAGCTCCCCGCGGAGGTGCACCCGCCGCGCCCCGGCCCGACGGTCGGGAGGGTGAAGTACCGGAGGGTGTTCTTGTACTTCTGAGGCTTGGTGCGTGTGGGGACGTTTGTTGGAGGAACTGGGAATGGAACCCGGGGCCTCGCACATGCCAGGCAAATGCTCTACCACTGCCCGCAGCCTTTTTGATACAGGGTCTGGCTAAATTGTCCAGGTTGAACTCGAACTTGTGCTCCTCCTGCCTCGGCCCTCCACTTCGCTGGAAGTACAGGCGTGGGCGCCTTGCCCAGAGACTTGTTCTTTTTTGTTTGTTTGTTTGTTTAATGTTTATTTTTTAGTTTTTGGCGGACATAACATCTTTGTATGTGGCGCTGATCATCGAACCCAGGCCGCAGGCATGCCAGGGGAGCGCGCCACCGCTTGAGCCACATCACCAGCCCCCAGAGACTTGTTCTTGAGAGTGTGCATCTCACCTTTCCTGCGTGGCACTCCACTTAGAGTGTGAGTTCCTTTCCTTCAAGACTCAGTGCTACATTCATGTAGCTCATACCTGTAACTGCTGCGACTCTGGAAGCCAAAACCCGTATTGCAAGATGGAGGCCAGCATGGGTCTTTCCCAGGTTCCCAGGTGTGACATTTCAGGCCTGGCGGACTATGAACCAGTGTCACGCCCCAGTTCAACAGGATTGACCAGGTGCTTGTCCACTGAATTGCAGCTCTTCATAATGCCTCTGTGGGATGATGACTGCTTCAGATCGCATGGACTGGTCTATTTTTGTGCTTGCCTTGACTTGTTTTACAAACCAAGATTTGGGGCCCAAGACAAAAGACTTGAGTTTAGATTTCCTAACTATGGAGGTTAGTATTTTGTCCACTGATGGGAAGTGAAGGGATTTAAGGTACTATTGTGTGGATTATCTCGTGATGGTTTGAAGGCATCTTAGTTCCAGAACATAAACTATTAAGAAGAAATGTGCACATCTACATCACCAGAAGCAAGCAGAGGCCACTGCAGGTGCACAGATCAGACAAGGATCACAGTAGCTGTGGTAGAGTCTAAGGTTGGCTCTGGGCCTACAGTGGCTCGTGTCAAGGGCAGTTGAACACACTTCAGTTTGGGGAACTGCCCAGCTAGAGTAGCAGAGGGCAGGGCTGCTGTTCTGTGGCTTAGGTGGCTGTGGCTAAGCTGATGTTCTGTGAAAATCAGGGCACGTAGCAGCACTCCCCCCATGTGATCATGCTGCCATGGCTACCCTGGCAGCTAGCTGTTGCTGGTACCTTGTCCTTCCTGAATCAGCCTTCTCCAATTTAAGCAGGTACAGCAAAGTTGGTTCTTATGAGCCCCGCAGGAGGCCTGAGAGACCCCTGGGCACCCACAGTGCATTCTACTTCCCTGGATATAGGCCACCCTGTCTGAATACCTGTGGGCCTCAGCCCAGAGCAGAGGGCTGATGAGATAGGTCACTCATCCTGTGCTCAGGCCTTCAAGGAGTGTGTCCTTGGGGTCGGCCTTCCCTGGGGCAGTGACTGGCCATCATAGGTGCTTCTGGACATCTTCCAGGGAGAGTCACGTTCAGAGTATGTTACCTGTTAAACATGGTTTCCTGCTGAGTCAACATGTTTTCATTAATATTACCCTCTCTGGATACAGTGGTGCACACCTGTAATCCCAGAGACTTAGGAACCTGAAGTAGGTGATGGCAAGTTCCAGGCCAGCCTGGGCAATTTAGTGAGATCTGATCTCAAAATAAAATCAGAAGGATTGTGAGGTAGCTGAGTGGTCAGTGCTCCTGGGCTTAATTCCCGCTACTGAGGGGAAAAAGCTACTTTCAACACCCCCTCCCTGGCTTTTTTTTTTTTTGTGTGTGTGTGTGTGTGTGTGTTACTGGTGAGTGAATTAAGGGCCTTGTATATGCTGGGCAAGCACTCTGCTACTAAGCTGAGTTACATTCCCAGCCTCAAATATACTTGCATGCACAAGGCCCTGGTTTTGATCCCAAACGCTAACAAAAAAAAAAAAAAAGAAAGAAAACAAGAGTTCTTCGAACACGGCTTCCTTTAGCCTGCGCCTCCTATCCTGCTGGATGTGTAAAGGGGTGACCAAGTTCATGGGCATCTAGAAGGCTGCTGGCTGCAGGTTTTTGCTGTATTAGGCTTCTGTGCCCAATTCTGAGACAGGCGTGCAGAAGAGGGCAGGGCTGTGGTGGTAAATCAGTACCTGGCGATTGCTTGGTCACATCCAGATCCTGACCTCAGCTGGCACCAGTTATGGCCTCTTCACAGAAGAAGGGCCTGTCTGCGGATGAGGAGGTGGAAGCTTGGGGATTTCTGGGGCCTATGGATAAAGGGAGGTGAGAAGAGGGCATGGGTTGTGGAGCTGGGAGGCTAGCCTTGGAGCAGCATCAAGCTGTACAACAGGTCAGGGTGGGACCAGGAGGATCAGGTTAGACTTGGGACTGGAGAGACACGTCATGTACCTTCTGCAAGTGCAACTTTGTTATCCTCCCCCAGGAGCAAAGTCTTGGCTGTTGGCCATGTGCCTGTACAACTTGGCACTCAGGGTCTGAGTTCACCTGTCTAACAAGCTTGGAAAATCCCAGAGCAAAAAGATCAAGCCTCTTGGCCTGATGTGAGCCTCAGAAGTCCTTCCCCACTAAACAACTGCTGACAATGAGATGGAACCTTTTAAGGAGGAGCTGGAGAGGTGTGAGCCCAAGTGCCCAAGACTGCTGACTAGGCGCCCATTCCTTCTGAGCTGAGATGGTCAGCCTGTGTTGAACCCTCAGGGCACTGCCTCACCCCTCCTGTCAACTCAGCTGGACCAGAACCCATTCTGAGACTGGGTAAGGTCTTTCCTGGTCTGGCTGGGCCAGCTGCTACAGTTCCCTGCTGTTGGTAGGCCATCCTGCTGAGGGCCAGCTCTGTCAGTTCTGGCACTAGCCTCAGCCTCTCACCCACATCTGGCAGGCCCACACAGGGCCTTCAGCAGAACTGAACATTTCCTGAAATGCCTGGGCTGTGTGTGCCATGTGAGCAATGCATGGGGCCTCAGTGGATAATGGAGGGGAAGCTACCACTATGTTAGCAAAATGCGTGGCAGACTACCCACCACTCAGCTTTCTTAGAGGTTCTGGATTTATGGTGCTTGGTGACAGAAGGGGAATTCTGTGTTTCTCACCCGAGTTAGCAGCTGTGTCCCCACAGGGTTGGGAATATGGACCTCAACCCCTAACAAGGGATTGTGACCCGAGGGGGCCTCTGTTTCACCTCCCTGCTAGGATCACAAAATCTCCACAACCCCAGGCAACCCCCAAGCAGCAAATCCAGTCTCCTTCAAGGGTGTTTATTTCCCGGTCGGAAGAGAAGCAGGGCAGGCTCCTCTGCCTGTCGAAGCCTGGGCCTGGCAGACACCACACGGGGACAGGGAGGGGAGGCACAGGAGACAGCTCCCAACAGTTGTGTGCGCTTGGTCCCGCTTTTGTCCTGGTTGGGTCCAAGGAGGGCCTGCCCAGGATGGTGGCACTGAGAGCCGGGGCAGAGGCAGCAGGCAAGCCAGCCCAGAGGACGGCACAAATGGAGGCAATAAATACTGACAGGCCAGGCACAAGGTTCCAGGCCACAGGGCCCAGGTGGGACAAGTAAGGCTCTGCCGCTGGCTTTATCCCTCAAGGGCTCTGAGCAGTGCCTCCTGGATCAGAGAAGGCAGAGGTGTGAACATACCTGCCTCCCAGATGGGGCTGGAGGCATGGAGTTTGGCAATTTGGCCCTCCCCAAGCTGCTGGCATCACCTCAAACCCTAACCCAGAGAGGGGAAGGGGCTTCCTAGGCCCTGGCAGGCTGGGCAGCAGCACACCCCAGGCCTCCCCGGGTCACCAAGATCACAAACAGGGCAGGGACAGGGGAGACCACATGCTCATGCAGACAGGGGGAGTTAAGAGTTAGTGAAGGCCCCCCCCAATACACGTTCCACATGTTAAGGCATCATGGTTAGACGGTGACTGACAGCAATGATGAAGTGGCCAGGGAGTGTTGGGGCAGAGGCCAGCTGGCACGGGCTTGCACTATGTACCCCAGTTCAACTGGGCAGAGACAAAGTGGGCTGAGCACCTGGACAGTGCTCCAATCCCTAAAAGCCAGAATCTGGGGTAGGACGGGCAGAAAGAACCTGGCAAGACACAGAGGGGGCAGTAGCCTGGGCTGGATGCCCCCCCACCCCTGCACAGGCAGAAGCAGCAACATGACACTAGAGACCATAAGGGCCTGCAGGCGGGAGGGTGGGAGAGGGAGGGTTGAGGAGCTTCCTGTGGGCCAGGTGGGATGGTGGCAGGGAAGGGGCCCTGTCAGCACTTTGGTTTGGGATGGGGAGGGGAGTGGGGTGGGACACGTCCGTCTGTCCGTCTGCCCTGCCTGCCTCCTGGCAGGGGCTCAGTCCTTCCACTCCTTTTTAATGGTGAGATTCCACTCCCATGACAGATGGTCAGTCTTGTCGTCATCTGTAAAGCGGGACTTGATGTTGTAACTGCCCCGAGCCAGCATGCCCTTGGGTGCTTCCTCCATGGGCGTCAGGAACTCATACTCCTCTGCCCTGGGTCCATAGCTCCCCACCATGTAGTCAGTTTTGTCAACTGCAGAACACAAGAAAGGGTATGGTCACCAGTGCCAATGGCCCTCTGGGGAAGACCACAGCTGCCCGCTCTTACATGCCCCGCCAAGTCTTGGGGATTGATCCCAGGGGCACTGAGCTACATCCCCAGATCTTTTTAAAATATTCTGAGGCAGGGCCTTGCTAAGTTTCTGAGGCTGGCCTCAAACTTGTGATCCTCCTGCTCCTGCCTCCTGAGTTACCAAGATTATAGCTGAGCACCACCACACCTGGCCCCTTACTCACTCTTGACACCTTTCCTGTATGTGTGCTGGATGTACTTCATGCCTGACACGATCTCTCTGTTCACCTGTAGGAACCCAGAGTGAGGTCAGCCAGGTTCTCCAGCCATACACCCCCAGTGCCTCCCCAAGTCCTGGCCTTACCCTGAAGGAAATTTTTATCCGATATTCCACACCCTCCTTCAGCACAAAGGACTGCTTCTTGAAACTTTCCAGATCACCTGTGTTGGGGAAGAGGCTCAGCTGACTGTCCAGCTCCCTCCCCCCCACCCCACCCCCTCCCATCTCCTCCCCCCAACACAAAGCAAAACCTCCAATAGCACCTCGCTGCACTTCCTGCATGCCCCACCAGAGGGCCCCTGTGCTACAGGAAATTATTTTTAGGGGCAGCAGCAGGGTGCCAGCCAGCCCCACCCAGGGACCTCAGTGTCCCCTTTCCTCTCTCACCTGTCAGGTCCAGCTCCAGGGGGCCTGGCGCAGTGCTACACACCAGGGTCAGGCGAGTCACGATGACGTTGGGGACATTGGGGTCTGGGGAAAGACAGCAAGTTGGAGCCCAACTCCCACCCACTAGGTCTTCCTCCTCCATCAGACAGACAAGCAGTGGAGTGGAGCAGAGGCTTAAGCAGAGTGACAGGTGTCCTTGCAGGAAAGCTGCTGCTCTGATGGGCCCCCACTCTGTCCCTACTCCAACGGGCTACTCACCAGCAGAGACAGCCACGCGGCCCAGCAGGGCTTCCTTGTACTTGCGCAGGCTCTCATCATCCTTGTCCAGCTCCTGGATCTCCTGGATGCTCTTCTGGGCCGGGGGTTTGTAGTTCACTGAGTGTTCGTCTTCCTCATTCTCAGCTGCAATCTGGGCCAGCTGCTCGGCTGTGGGTTCCTGTTCTGCCATGCTCACCTCTAGATTGGGTATGGGACACCTGTGGGTAGGCAGGATTATGACAGCCTGGACAGTACCAGACCTCAGAGTGCAGGAAGCAGGACAAGAAGGGGTGGCTGGTGAGTCTGAATAGCAGGGGCAGCTCCCTCAGACTCACCAGCCACCTGCCCCTGCGGCCTCAGGGGGGGCATTCTGAAAGGACCCCACTCCAAATAGGAGACTAAATGGGAACGCAGCCTGCTCCTCGGGGAGATAAAGGCACAAAGATGCCTTCCCCAGCAGAGGCACCGAACCCAGACCCAAACTGGAGGGCCAACACTAAACCCCTACTGTCTGCTGTGCCTCTAAGTTCCAGGCCCTCACCCAAGGGATCCCTACTGAGCCCTGGGACTGAGAGCCCTGAAGAGGGAAGCTCCCTGTGGGAGCCACGTGCAGGCAGACATGTGCTGTGCTACAGCTCGGATGTCCGGGCCCTCTGGATCTCACAGGCCCCAAGAGGCACGAGGTCGTCCCCATTCGTGGCTACAACTTGGGACTGCTGCAGGATCGGTATTCTCAGGACCCTCGGACAAGTGGAGCAGCCGCCAAGGGCGGCGCCAACCAAGCAGCGACAGCGCTGTCGCAGACAAGTCTCCTTCGGCCTGGACACCGATCAGCCTCCAGGGGCTCTAAGAACATTCGGAATCCCACTCGGCAATCTCCGAGGCGGTACGGAGGGGTCCGGGCGCAGCCCGCAGGGCGCGGCCAGCGCCTCCCTCCTCGGGCCCAGGAAGGGGGCCTAAACGCGGGAATATAGGGCCGTCGGGACTCGCGAGGCGGGGGTGGCCCGTGAGCCCATCCACGCCACCGCTTCCCGCAAGCGCGCGGCCGGACGCCGCCCCAACGTGGCCGCAGGCGATAGCATCCCTGGGCGCGGCCCGCGCTTCCGCAGGGCTTGCAATCCGGGCCGGG